GTCAGCCCAAAATTTGCCAAATGAGTCCTATCTAATAATGTCCAAAATAGGATGAGTCTATACTTGTGATTTATTATTCCATTCATATTTTTTAGATTTGCTTATATAGGGTGACTCAAAAAAATTAATGAATGGGTGAATTAATTTTATTGATTTAATCAGGAACTGCAAAACTGAATGCTCTGAAATCTTGGAGATGCTTTAATGTTATCATAAGCATGGTAATTTTTTTATTAAAATGTATTTGTTCATTCCCCCTAAAAAATTGATGATGTCACCTGAAAATTTTGCTGAATAAATCCTATCTGAAATGTGCAAAATATGATGAGTTTTTACTTGTGATTTATCACTGCATTAATATTTTTTTAGTTTTGCTTAAACGGGGTGTCCCAAAACTATTAATCACTGGGTCAATTTATTTTATTGACTGAAAACCGTAAATAAACTTTATTATTATCAAGAATTGTAAAACTGAATATTTTGAAATATTGCAGACATTTTGAAGTTACTGTAAGCATGTTAGCTTTTTAATCAAAATATATCTGTTTATCAAGCCCAAAAACTTGATGACATCATCTCAAAATTTTGCCGAATAAATCCTATCTAAAATGTGCAAAATATCATCAGTATATATTCGTAATTTATCATTGCATTCATATTTTTAGTTCCCGAGCGTAAGCAAAGGAAGTATTGTAATCGAGTCCGTCGGCCGACTCTCTACTTTTACCTTTTCTCGATCTTTCATGATCCCTAGAAGACGAAGAAATAGGTCTCTCATTTCCGTCTCTCTGTCCGAAAGTACTGGACCGATTGTTTTGAAATTTTGTACTTATATTAGGAATATCATGTAGATGGTAAAACGCTAACCAAAATTTGGTAAATTTAATCATCCCCACTACTAATGCGATGACGTCACTTCAAAATTGTACATAGTGAATCGGTTTTAAATTGTATAAAATAACGTAGTCCTACACATGTGGTTTACGACTCCGAATTGAGTTTTTACCCGAAACGTCCAGATTTTTGGAAAAAAATCAAAATTATAAAACAACATTTTGAAATTTAATTTTGAATCTGCTAACCTGAATGTTTTGAAATGTTGCAGATGTTTTAACGCTATAAAGAGCATCATAAATCTTTAGTCAAAATATATTTGGTTATCCCCTCCAAAAACTTGATGACGTCAGTTCAAAAGTTTAACGAATAAATCCTATCTAAAATGTGCAAAATATGATGAGTATGTACTTGTGATATATCACTCCATTAATATTTTTTGGATTTGGATATACAGGGTGACTCAAAAAAATTAATGAATGCGTAAATGTATTTTACTGATTTACTCAGGAATTACAAAACCGAATGCTTTGAAATCTTAAAGATGTTTTAAAATTATCATAAGCATGGTAAATTTTTTATCAAAATGTATTTGGTCGTGCCCCCTAAAAAAAATTATGACGTCACCACAAAATTTTGTTGAATAAATTCTACCTAAAATATACAAAATATGGTGAGTTTCTTCTTGTCATTTATTATTCCATTCAAATTTTTTCGATTTCCATATACAGAGTGACTCAAAAAAATTAATGAATGCGTGAATTTATTTTATTAAGTTAATCAGGAACAACAAAACCGAATGCTTTGAAATCTTGCAGATGTTTTAAGGTTATAAAGAGCATAATAAATGTTTAGTCAAAATATATTTGCTTATCCCCTCCAAAAAATTGATGACGTCAGCTCGAAATTTTTAATATTTTTCACAATCGCACGGAAGAAATAGTTTTGTGTGACACGTCAGTCAGGCGACAGGTCCGTCAGGAATGGCCAACTAATCAAATTCATTCCAAGTGGCGATTCCCGTGCAAAATTTAAGTAATCGTTCGAAAGAACGTGCGCATAATAAATGTCACATGAAATTAACTGAGCAGAGTACAATGAGTAGCTGTCAAACAATGTATCACGCACCGGCGCCTTCTACTTAAAAACGTACTTATTTTCGTGAGGGATACTCACACACCAAGTACTGGCGCCGTTGTAGTACGTGGCTGTATGTGAAAAATGATTTTCCCTGTTTTCCTGCTTTTCTTTTGAAATTTTTCCAGAATTTTCTTTGCTATAAACCTCACGGAGCCCGAGACCTTTCCAACGAATGCAAAACCGTGGAACTCGGTTCGTGCGTTCTGGAGTTATAACGTCAGGAAGGAAAACCCGACTTATTTTTATATATTAGATTAACCTCATGCATTAGACAAAAAAATCTATCAACACTGTTTTAACTCTGACATCATTAATGAAGAACAGAAAGGATGTATTAAAGGATCCTTTGATTGCAAAAAGCAATTAATCATAGATTCCATCATCTGTGAACAAGCTAGAAAAGAAAACCGAAACATATATACTGCTTTTATTGATTATAAGAAAGCTTACGATTCTGTCCCTCATTCCTGGCTATGCAAAATTCTGGAATTATACAAAATTGATACTAAAATTTACACTTTTCTCAAATGTTCCATGGAATTTTGAAGATCACCCTCCAAATAACCTTAAATGAACAAACAATTCAGTCAGATCCAATAATGATCCGAAGAGGAATTTTTCAAGGTGATTCTCTTAGCCCGTTATGGTTCTGCTTAGCAATAAATCCCCTCTCCGATATCCTGAACAGCTGCAATTATGGGTTTAATATCAGAATTAACAAACAAAGAGAAAACAGAATGAGTCACTTGCTGTATATGGATGACATAAAAATGTATGCAAGTACACAAAATCAGTTAACAAACCTATTAAATCTGACTGAACAGTTTTCCGGTGATATTGGTATGTGTTTTGGTATTGAGAAATGTAAGACCCAAGCAATCAGAAAAGGCGTCCAATACCAAGTACCACATATAACCCAGAATAACGAAATAATCGAAGCCCAAGAACGAAATGATACATACAAATATCTGGGTTTTTGTCATTCCTCCCACATCAATCATACCAAAACGAAAACACAGTTGAAAGATCAATACCTAGCTAGATTAAAATTAATATTGAAGGCACAGTTAAATGGAAAAAATTTAATGAAAGCAGTAAATACATTCTGCGTTCCACTGCTAACATATTCTTTTGGAGTCATTAAATGGTCCAAAACTGATCTTGAAAATTTAAACATCGCAACAAAGAAAATCTTCACACAGTATAGAAGGCATCATCCAAAATCGTCCATTGAAAGATTTTCATTATCAAGACAGAATGGAGGAAGGGGTTTCCAGAACCTAGAAAACTTATATCAGAGACAAATCTCAGATCTGAAGAAGTATTTCTTGAAACGAGCCCCCACACAATAGACAAAATAATAAGTGGGCTAAAACAAAAACAACTACATGGAAAATTCTACAAATAAGACTTAGAAGAAACTCATGTCAACAAGAAGATGTCATTTATTTGGTTAAAAAAATCAAGTTTGTATGCCGAAACAGAAGAATTTGTGTTTGCTATTCAAGACCAAGTAATCAATACCAAGAATTACAGAAAATACATCATCAAAGATCCGAATATAAGAAACGACTGCTGTCGCCTCTTATACACTTAGCACATAATCTCCTCCTGCAGCATCCTGACACAAACTGACTACAAAGCTAGACACGACAACGCAGCCAAAATCATTCACAAAGAATTAGCAACACTTATGAACTTAATCGAAGATACGACACCTTATTACACTTACATTCCATCTCCGTTCCTTGAAAATAACAAATACAAATTATACTGGGATCGCACAATACTTAGAGACTTATATCAAACATTTATTACAGCTAACAGACCAGACATCATACTTATCAAAAAATACACGAACGAAGCCATTCTCACTGACATTGCTATTCCTAACACAAACAACATTATTCAAACATACCACACCAAGATTTCAAAATATCCACAATTATCGATAGAAATGAAATCCATGTTGAATCTTAAAAAAATTTCGATTCTACCCTTAGTTATCTCTAATTTAGGTGTAGTCCCAAATAGCTTAGTTGAGAATTTAAAGACTTTGCATTTGAATGATTCAATAATTGTCAAAATTCAAAAAGCTGTTTTGTTAGGAACATGTCATATTGTTCGTAAGTTTCTCGAACAGTCTCATCATGTCAGTCAGATTAGATTAGCACCAGTAGGTCAGAGTAGTGTAGGTCACTTTCCAAGTGATGCGCGGATAAATGATCGGTAGTTACGCTATACTTTTGGGGATGGGGTGAGATTAGAGAATAATAGCAGACTAATTTGTATGCTGTAATTCTAGAATCTCGAAAGTTGTTTTGTTAATCTAATCAATGCATATCATTACTTGGTCTTAGTACCCGTAATGATAGAAGTCTTGCCTGAATGCCGGTTATTTCCGGGTCAGTGGTGGGTCTTAATCTTAATAATAACAATATTTGTAATTGTAATGGCATATATGTATAACTTTACTGTCCAATATAGGATCAATACGAAATATGAGTGTCCAAGATTGGCGCCACAGAATCAGTCAACAGTAAATAAATTATAACTGCATACTGATTAAAGCTTAATGATAAAACACGATAATGGTAACACTAAGTCAGATGACATAAACGTGCAGTTAGTCACCTGTAAAATTTGAAAATGTTGCCGATTTGTCACTCCTTAGTATGATATTTGAACTTTCGCTGCCATTATCGTTAAACACACTTGGAAAAAGGAGGAATAAATCAGTGCCCACTTGTAGTTTTAAACATTTATGTAGAAACATACAGTCCTTGTCCTTAAAGTGTGCACCACTGGTACCAATGCCCTACTTTATTTTCTCTAATTACAAAAGCGATAATGATTATGAGTAAAATGTGACTTTATCGCTTGAAACAAAATTTGCCGCATGTTCTGTTACTTCCGACGACGGACCATACATAGTATATCCACGTAAAGCAAACAATATTATTCACAACCATAACTATATGAACGAGGCGTTCTTTAAAAGCTTCAATAAAACTAATCTGACTTACCCTCCTTGTGTTGCGCTGGATATGCTAAGCGTAAAAATGCTGTTTGTGTATCCGTCACAGTTGCAAGAGTCCGTATGCCTGCCCCCATTTCCCGACGCCCATACGAAAATCGAACCTTTTCCTTTCCTCCCACTCGTTACTCCGTAAATGAAAGCACGCCGTGCTAACGGACCAGGACCATCCACTGTTTTCCCGTCGTCTTCGGGTCCCCAAGAGGCACTATAGATGTCAATATGTTCGGGGTTTAATCCTAATGCTCTAGCCTCGACGGCATCGTTCACCACGCCGTCCAGCATCCTGACACCTTGAAATATTAGACAGCGCTAAGACAATGCAATTAACTCCAAAAAAAGGGAATCTGTTTAGTGTTACGATGAAGCTACGCTCTACAAATTTTCCCCATTAAAACCTTCATTGTAAAAACATGATATAAATAAAAGACATAATTTGCTTGAATTTTCATTGTAGGACTTCTACTAATTCTAGTTATACATGCGCAATTCTACAAAACTTGGTTAACTTCATGTGTTGATGTGTAATTTAGACAAATATCAACTTACAAGTATCTATCAAGTATATTGAATACTGAGCATAGCGTAACGAACGTTAGCGCGAGCGAAGCGCGAGTGTTGCATGGGAGTGAGTTATACTGTGCTCGTTTTCATACGAGTAACATACAACATTTTTCGTGTTGTTTTACTATAATAATTTAAATTCCTGTAAATTATCTAAGTTTATATGGCTGTTGTAAAATTAGGGTATTGTGAGGTCGACAATGGAGTGGGAATAAGGCAAAGCCACAATTGTAAACCTTTTCGGTTATACCTGCTCCCATCCGTCATACATTTCAGAGGCGGATTCAAGAGAATGCGTTACTCTTCTAAAATACTCAATGAAGGTATTTGGACACATAACGTGTATCATCATTTTACAATGTTTTGTTTCTTAAATCTATATGTTTCATTTGTAAATAAATAAAACTTTAACTGTCCTGGAAAAATGGATGATGAAGCCGGCTTTGCGCTGGTTGGTAAGAAATTGGGACAAATCCTTGATTTATAACGGTAGGCTCGTGCCGGTGACCAGTCGCACTAAAGGGGTTATTATTTCCTATTATTAGGTTTAGTGGGGCCATATAATCTTAGACAATTTGGAAGACTGTAAAATAAATATTTACGGAAAAAAAGTAATATTATGTTGGCATCCATGTGACGAAAGTCAATTCGGTCAATTCAAATACAAATTGAATTTGAATTTAGAAACCAATTTAGGAGTGATAGAGACCACTATTCGGTTCGAAAACCGGAAAAAGATATTCCTCCTTTTACACAAAATTCCAATTCCAAATTACCTTATTTAGAATGCAGTTAATGAAGACATTGGGTTTTCTTTTACATCGCATAAGATATTACATATTTAACTTGTTTTCCTTATTTAAAACATAATTTGTTCTAACTATTTCCTTACTGCTGTTGATATTCGACGCATCAAGTATTCTTTACATTTTTGTCAAATATTTTACAATTAAAATAAGTTGACATTTTGGCTTTTTTTAGTGAAGGAAGATTGGTTGCAACTTCCAATGCATTGATTTGTTATTGATGCGTATCTGTAAAACAAAAAGTAGAGATTAAGCCCCTATTCATATGTTCAGAGTTAAAAAATGCCCTGTTTTTGTTTTTGTTTAAAAGTGGTTTATTCCGGCAGGTAAGGATAACAAGATAGATACTGATTAAAATAATAATAATAATATTAATAAAAAGAAAATTGGTCGAAAGTTATTTCGACAGAACTTCCTTCGCCTTTGAAGTAATAGGTGTTGAAGTTGAAAAATCACTCGGAGTAGGCGTTAGAATTGCAATGGTTGATAGGTAACCTTACATTTTAAAGAATATTTTGGTGTAAGGTGTAAGAGGTCAAGAGGTGTGACATTGTGTGTCGTCCAATGCTAAATTTCGAATAATTCCAGCGAAAACTCGTTAAAAAAGTGTGTGCTACACTTGTTATTATGTTTTTCTGAAACACTTTCGCCACATCAAACTGCAATAATATTTTACTCGTTTTTCCGACATAACCTCATTTCAGTCAATAGATAAGTAATAGTCAGGTATGCGTGCTTATCACTGAACTTTTTCATGAAGAGATAATTTGTTAACATTAAAAATAAATATATGTATTAACCGAGTTCCCAGGCTCTAAAAAATTACTTTAAACTAAACAATTCACCCAATTACGATATCTCCAATTATGAAACGATTGATTATGAAATCAAAACGTCAGAGGACTCTGTTCAAAAACGGATAACTTTTACAATGGTAATTGTTTAAATATTTTTTTTCTTCATAGCACGAACACAGCTTTGGCTCCACAGTAATATTAAGTTCAGAATTTTTCCCAGCTTGTTATACATTCCACAGCATTTCGCCAAGACAGACACATGGAAACTATTCAAAAATCTAGAAGTGGTCTATAATTCGCAATCTATATGTATAACGAGTGATCAAAAAGTTTTCACTTTTACAGTTTAATCAAAGACATGACAAATATTTCCATGACCAACTCTAATCTGAACACTTTTTGATCGTCGTTTATAGTTATAAAAGGCAATGTCCCGACTAACCTATCAACGCCCAGTCCAAACCGCTAGTGATAGAAATTTGGAGAGGATATTTATTTTATACTGGATGCATCGTTCAAGAAGGGATTTTTCGAAATTCATCCCCCAAGAGGGTGAAAACGGGTATCCAAAATTTGTATAGGACCAATATTTCTATTGTAAATTTAAATTTTTACCTGAAACTTGGTATTAATGCTCTTCAACAAAAATAATGAAACCCGCATTTAAGTATTTTCCAAGATTCAACCTCTAAGGGAGTGAAATGTGGAGGCTAAGTTTGCATGTGAAAAATATTTTTATTATAAATTTTTGACGTGGAATTTAGTGTTAATGCATAAAGAAACATGTATTTAAATTAGGGATGTACCGACTAGTGGCCCACCGGTCGGATAAGCCGACTATTATTAGGAATATCATATACCGGGTGTCCCACGTAACATTTTCGGGCGGAATAACTCAGGTATATTTGAACGGATTGTTATAAAATTTGAAATGTAGGTATTTTGTTAGGTGAGGATTAATATGAACCGGTGAGATTAATCATTATCTTGAAAAAGTAAATTTTCCATGCCTTAGTTTAATTTTGAATTAATTAAATTTTGCATCACTTGATTAAAGATGAAAAATAACTACTGTATGCAAAAATTCATCTGCGAAATACGTCTGGTTAGGCAAAAGACGATAAATTATTGCGCAAATAATTCCAAACAGTATTAAAGGATAGGTAGCTATGAAAGAAAAAACTGCAATCCTCACATTTTGAACACCCTTGCGGGAATTTGATACCTGTTTGCCAAGCGTTATTTTATGAATTTTAAGAAAATACAAATTATCAGTTGCTCGGCTACAACCTTTTCGAAGGTGCAAAATTGCTTTAGGTTCAGGAATTAATTCTAACTTGAATGGAAATAATTTTGCTAGGTGTATTTAACATCTTGTTTTTTTTCACTCGTTTTAGGTCTTGTACACTTCCCGTATCTTCAAATAAGTTTATTATTCTCTGAACTTTGAATTTGGTAAATTCATCATCGGGATACCGTTCGATAAGAGTCCTGATTGTTTCATCTAGGTCTGTACGGCATTCTGTATTAATAATTAAAGAAAAGCGAACCATTTTTAATAACTTGTCAAATTTTGATAAAAAGGTCAGGGGTGTACAAAATTGAACTCGGCGACGCAGGCAATTATTGTTTTACACCGACAGCACTATGAAATTAAAAAAAAACCAAATCAATTAATTTTTGCGTTTTTATTAACGTAATTCTTTTAAACGAAAACAGTGATTTAATTAATTTTTCGCGCACACGCGTTACTTTAGTTGCTTAAAGTTATAACGCAATTTTGAATAATTTTTAACAACAGGAAGGTGTGTTAAAATTCTTTTTTTGTACGATAAAATAGTTTTTTTGTTATCAGCCTAATCTTTACATATTACATGTATTATACCTGTGTTAAATTTCATAAAAATCCCTCCAAAAATACCTGAGTTATTGCGCCCGAAAGTGTGACGTGCGACACCCGGTATATAATAATGTCATGACGTCACTTCAAAATTGTACATAGTAAAGGGGTTTTAAATTGTAAAAAATGACATAGTCCTGCATATGGAATTTATGTATTACATATTTACGCTTGTAATTTATCGCTGCAATAATACTTTCTAGATTTGCTTATACAGGTGTCTCAAAAAAAATTAATGACCGAGTCAGTTTATTTTCTTGATTAAATCAAGAATTGCAAAACTGAATACTTTGAAATATTACAAACGTTTTAAAGTTATTGTGAGCCTGGTAAATTGCTAATCAAAATTATTCCCCCCAAAAAATTGATGACGTCATCTCAAAATTTTGCCGAATATATTCTATTCAAAATGTGCAAAATATGATCGAGTTTTTACTTGTGATTTATCATTGCATTCATATTTTATATATTTCCGTAAAGAGTTTGCTCAAAAAAATTAATGAATGAGTAAATTTATTTTATAGATTAAATCAGACCGGCCTACTCCATTTTCTCAGAACATTTTGGGAATACAATACTGTTATTTTTAGTATTACACTGCACCAATCCAGGTTGATATACGTGTCTTTGCAAAAATGTTGATGACGTCATCACAAAATTGTGTAAAGAAAAAAATCCAACTCGAAAATGCTGGATATTTTCATTGTACTTCAGGAGCGAGGGAAGTTCTGTCGAAACAACTTTCGACCAATTTTCTTGTATTGTATGGGCTATGGGTCATGGAACGTCGAGAAAATATAAAAGATTTTACTATACTTCCTTAGCTTACGCTCGGGAAGTAACAAGGTGGTTCATAATTCAGTTTTTGAAAAGATGGACATGATTTGCTTTAAAACCACGAAATACATACTACCAATCGCCCTTTTTCTCGAAAGGTCAATTTGTTCTTTACGGTGTAGCGTAAAATGAGTGTTTTCTCCGTGTGAAATTTTGTTGAGAAAAATAATGATACTGAAATCAGTGATGTCACCACCCTCATCTCAAGAATATATTTTCTTTTCGTTAAAATTTGTTTTTCATTTTGTGTGGAGTGAGTTGCTAGTGAATCATCGTCACGTTTGTTTCGATAAAGCGTTTGCATGATGTAGGAGTTTAGCTTTTATGGACAGCAAGGAGCGGGTTTGATAATAAAGCAAGCGATAATAATAATAAATTTTTGTAGCAAT